TCTGTGTTGTTCTTTGTTCTCTGTGTTGTTCTTTGTTCTCTGTGTTGTTCTTTGGCCTCTGTGGTGTTCTTTGTTCTCTGTGGTATTCCCTATTCTCTGTGGTGTTCCTTGTTCTCTGCGGTATTCCTTGTTCTCTGTCGTGTTCTTTGTCCTCTGTGGTATTCCCTATTTTCTGTGGTGTTCCCTATTCTCTGTGGCGTTCCTTGTTCTCTGCAGTATTCCTTGTTCTCTGTTGTGTTCTTTGTTCTATGCGGTATTCCTTGTTCTCTGTCGTGTTCTTTGTTCTCTGCGGTGTTCTTTGTTCTCTGTGGTGTTCTTTGCAGTATTCCTTGTTTTCTGTGGAAATCCTTGTTCTCTGTGATGTTCCTGTTCACTGTAGAGTCCCTAGTTCTCTGCAGCATTCTCTGTTCCCTAATTTGTTCCTAGTTCTTAACACTTTTTAAAAATCACAACAAATCATAAAATAAAAGGGGTGTAAAGCTATAGTTTTTGCCCATGGTAGAAAGTTTGATTACGTATTTTATGGCCCTCTGCCACAAAAATCAGGTGATTATGTAATTACCCAATTCTGAGTGTTTTAACTTTGTGTCTCTGTTAGAAAAATTTGTCATGAATCCTTGTATGGCTCCTAATGAACCTACTCAAAGTAAACCTTGGATGTGCATCTACAACTGACAATCTTTTAAGGTCAGCTGATTCAAGATGGCTTCCTTAGCTAATATAACAATGACTATAATTCAGTCAGTTGTACATATAATGAACTAAAACCTGTCATGGTAGTAGCTGAGAGTCATCCCAGTTCCATTTCTCTGTCTCAAAGGTTTTTTGAGTGAAAGCTGGACCCGGCACACGAGCGGACATGGACCCATCTTCAGTGTTTTTTTAACTCTGTTGTGTTTTGGGGTTTTCAGGTGACTATGATAAGAAACGTCCAGATCCTGGAGAACAGGTTATAAAGATCCAGGAGGTCTTTGTCCACCCTCATTTCCACTCCTACACCTATGATAGTGATATTGCTCTCATCTATCTGGCCCAGTCAGTCCTCAGGGGCCCTACAGTGGCCCCCGTCTGCCTGCCGGACGCCCACCTGTCTGGTTACCTGCTGAGGGTACCCTCAATTTTTCAGACTTGTGACTGTTTCTGATCCAAGTCTAAAATCTGACCAGTGTTTATGTGTTCAGGATGAGAGCCGAGGCGTGGTGACGGGCTGGGGGGCCACTCAGTATCTGGGGAGCTCCTCCCGCTTCCTGAGGAAGGTGACACTGCCGGTGGTGAGCCACCAGGCCTGCACGGCCTCCACCGAACAGGTAATCTGCCATTCAGGTCTCAGCATGTTGCTCGGTCTTTGCCGTGTTACCTTTGTGGGTTGAGTCACGTAACCCCATCCTCACTCCTGTGTGTCTCACAGGTGATCACAGACAATATGTTCTGTGCCGGTTACCTGGACACTAACATGGACGCCTGCGGCGGCGACAGCGGTGGCCCATTTGTCGTTCACTACAGAGGAACCTGGTTCCTGACCGGAATCGTCAGCTGGGGGGAGCAATGTGCCGCCAAGGGGAAGTATGGGGTTTATACCCGACTGGGAAACTTCCTAAACTGGATCAGAGACACCATGCAAAGACTGGACCTGAATGGAACCCTGAGCCTCTGAGGACAAAGGTGTCAAATCTGGACCAGATCTGGATTATTTCTCTCAGTCCAGAAGGTTTTAAATTGGACCAGGCAGAAGGAGCTCCAGGAGAAAGCCATAAGTTTCTGCTGCAGCTTCATGTTCCTGCAAGACGAGGAAACCATCTGATCCAGAACACTGACTGAACCTCAGCAGAACTTATTGAGTAATGGACCTTTATGTTGCTGGTTCACATCTCTGTTCAGCTTCATCACATCTGTCTTTCAGTTTTCAAAAGGGGGTCCACCAAGAACCCCACTTTTCATTGGATTATAGCAGAACATTCGTTACTTCCTTGTTCTTCAATAAGCCCCGCCCCTTTGGATGAAAACTGTCAACAAGCTCCGCCTCTTTGGGGGTGAAAACACTGTAATGGGTTCTGATTTGCATTTTAGTCAACAGAAATATAAATACCACCAGTTTCTGTTTTTACCTGAACAGAGACTTGTTTCTTTGGTCTGTTTTAAATTTTATTTTTATATTTTTATTAGAATCTGAGTAAATCTCACAGAAAACCTGTAGAGTCTAATGCTTTTGATTTGTAGCTGATGTTTGCATCACAGTAATTCAAATATGTTTTATCAAAAACTAGAAAAAAAAAGTATTTTGGCGGGTTTTATTTTTTGCACAATTTACAGAGAATGAAAGTTTCTGTGATTCCTCGAACAACAAGTCTGAGTCTTTACCGTATGTTCAGGAAACAAATGATAAATGTAGCTCAGTCTATAATGTTCTTCCATATTTGATAAAAATATGTTTTTAAAACGTCGGCATGAATCTGCAGAGGGAGCCATGTTTTGACCTGAGTGGGAGTTTTCTCCTCCATGTAGGAGCTGAAATCACAGCTTGGTGTTTTAAAAGCTGCAACTCGTGTCAAAACCCTCTCAGCAGCTCACAGAAACCAGACATGAGTTCAAGTCCAGCCTCAGAGAACAGACACTTTAAACAGGTTTATTTTAGTTTATAAGAATAAAAATATGAAAGCAGTAAAACAAAAAGACCGACTGTGTTGGACTTTTAGGAGTGTGGTTAATAAAACATATTCTGACCAACATGAAGAGGAACTTCAGACATTTAGGACTTCATTTAAGACAAACAGCTCTGGATCACTGAGTCTGTGTGATCAGTCAGTATCTGACCTGCAGCATTCTGAGTATGCTCAGTTCAGACAGATTCTTGACAGCTGAGCTCATGATAATGCTCAGAACCAGAAGAGCGTTTTACTGACTAAACCAACTCAAACCTTTAGATGTTTGAGTTCAGGTCAACCTTTAAGTTTTATCTTTCGTCTGACTGAGAGAAGAGCTTTGTTTACACAAATCAGCTGAGCAGACAAAATGTTTTAAATTATTTCATTAAATCTTGGAGGTTTAATTCTGTTCTTGTTCCCAGTTAAAAAAACCTGACACACACACAAACACACACTCACACTGTTAACAGGACCATGCTGTTAACAGGACCATGCTGCTGTAGATTTATTTCTTTTTCACTTCTGGCGTCTTGTTTCTGTATTTCTGTTGCATGCTTTGGTATTTCTTGATGTTTTGGCGAGTCGAGACGGTTCTTCTCGTCCTGAGCATTTTTCATCAACCTTTATTTCTACAGGTTAATCCCATTGAGCCTTGCTGACTCATTTACAAGGAGACCTGATTTTAACAAAGAATTATGAATACAGTGGACAACAATCATAAAAAGAAGTATACAAATTGAGAAGAACAAATAAAAGAAAATGGTATTTAAAAACTAAACAAAAACAGCTCGATTATAAGGCGGTGTAAAATACTAAAAACAGGAGCACGTCTACGTTGGTTTTTCCAGGAACTTAACAGATGATTGAAATCACTTAGAGAGGTCAAAGGTCGAGAGCTTCAGATCTTTTTACAAGATATTCCAGGAAACAGGAGCGGAGTAGGAGAAGGCCCTTTTGTCTAGTTCAGTCCTCACTGAGGGAACACTGCAGGTAATGATGTCCTGAGAGCGCACGCTGTAGCTGCACTCACACAGAGACATGTAGGAGGAGATGTATGAAGGCAGCAGACCAGGAAGTGATTTAAAGATGAAAATGTACCAGTGAGAGAGTCTGTGAAGTTAATGATGACCAGTTAACCAGTGAATACTGGGTGCAGTGGTGGGTACGATAATCACAGCCAGTTATGAATCTTAGTGCACCATGATAGACAGCATCCAACATCTGCAGCATCCACCATCTGCAGGGTTCTTGTAGGAGCGTTCATGTAAATAATGTCACTGTAATCAATGGAGGGAAGGAAAGTCACAGATACAAGGCGTTTCCTAACATTCAGGGTTAGACAGGATCTGTTTCTGAAAAAGAAACCCAGTTTAACTTTCAGTTTCTTTATCAAGTTTTCCACATGGAGCTTAAAAGAGAGATGTGAGTCGACCAAGATACCCAAATATTTATAGGAATCAACAAACTCAATGGGGACACCATTTGAGGATAAAATCAGAGGAAGAACTGTGAGGTTGATGTTGATCAGGTGATAAACACTCTTAAAAAGGGAGAATTTTGGTAAAAGTTTATGGATGTTTATGAGTTCAGAGAGTTGTCTTTCCTCTCAGAGAGGAGCCTGCAGGCGCCTGACGCCTCAGAGTCTGTGAGCTGGGGAGCGTGTATTACATAAACTTTTCTCTCACGGTCCGGTGCAGATCGTCGGCTTCAATGAAACATCTGTGTAAGCCTGTTGTGAACATCTGTCCTTGCAATAAACTCGGTTAAAAATCTTCTCGGGTCGTCGTGTTTGGCTCCTTTCAAGTATGGAAGATAATGAGAGGGTATTTTTATCCAACTGAATCTTTTTCTAACATCTTCTTCACAGGAACTGTTCTCTAACAGAATTTTTCCTTCAATTCTGGTACATAAAGAGTTCTACAGATCATTCTGAGGCGGCTCTGGCTCTGATACCTTCAGACTGCAGCAGGTGAGACGCTGACTGATCATAAAGACTCAACACAACTTTACTCCAAACTGACTGAAGACATCTGAAGGACGGAGTCAAACAGGAGGACCAGCTGTCCGTCCCTCTGAGCAGAAACTGAAGGATGTAAGAAATCCTGATAAATTTGAAGATCCTGAGGAACCCTGTTCCAGGTGAGGAACCCTGTTCCAGGTGAGGAACCCTGTTCCAGGTGAGGAACCCTGTTCCAGGTGAGGAACCCTGAGGTGAGGAACACCTTTAGAAGCTGAACTTCAGCGTCTGAATTCTTGACTTCATGTCTTTAACAAACTGCAGTTCTTTGGACCAGGACTGTTCAGGAAGAGGGCGGAGCCTCGAACCTGGAGCTGAGAACACCTGCCTACAGGTAAATGTTATGGAGCAGTGGGTGCTTCTTGTCCTTATGGATGAAACAGGAGATGGAGACAAGCAGAAGGTGTCCTGTCCTCCGTCTCACCACCAGGGGACAGCATGGATCTGGTTCTGGATCCACTCTGTGTATTTCTCCACCCGGGTGTAGACTCCATACACCCTCTGACTGCCACAGTCCTCTGGACCTCCCCAGGACACCAACCCAAACACCGCCCACCTCTGTCTCACCTCCATCACGAACGCCCCCCCGCTGTCCCCCAGGCAGGTGTCCCGCCCCCCCTCATAGAAGCCGGCGCAGAACATGTTGTCGGTGATGTTGTAGCTGTTGGAGCGCGAGGCGTAGCTCGCCTTGCACTCGTCCTGAGAGACCACCGGCAGCTTCACGTACTGCAGGAGGTCAGAGGTCACCCCCAGGTCAGAGGTCACAGAGGTGGATGACACATTGAGGTTGGAGATCCCCCAACCAGCAACCACACCCAGAGAGTTGGGGAGCAGTGACGGACGGTCGCCCTGAGTAGAGACAGAGGTCAACAGATTTTATTGGAGAGACGGAAGGACAGACATGTCTCTGTCCATGTCTTCAGTTGCAGCGTCTCACCTGTGGGTCAGGTGGTGGCAGACAGACGGGTCGGACCAGCTGGTTCAGCTCTGCCCTCCGGCTCAGCCTCAGCAGGGCAATGTCGTTGTTGTAGTTGTTGGGCTGGAAGTCAGGATGGAGGACGATCCGGTCCACCGAGCAGCTGGTGGACACGTCTTTGTCTTGGACTCTGTGGAGTCCGAGGAACACCTGAAGGACAGAAACTCAGAGACGTGAAGCACTGACGACACAAGTCTTCATGTCTTTGGACAAAGTGGCTCCTCCTCCCACCTTGACGTGCTCCGGAGCCACCGGGACAACGCTGGTGTCCCTCCTCTGAGACCGCAGGATGTGGGCAGCTGTCAGGACCCAGGAGTCAGACAGCAGGGCCCCGGAACCAAACCAGCGGTCCTCAGGGACCCGAGACAGGTCCTCTACACTGAGTAGAACCTGCCAGGGGAAGAGACCCGGCTCTGCAGTCCGACCGCCTATGATCCGCTTCACCTGAGAGGGGAGGGCCCGAGACGGACGTCCACAGGCTGGAGGAGACACAGACAGGTAAATAGGTAAACAAGTAAACAGATAGAGAAGTAAACAGATAGACAGGTAAAGAGAAAGGTAAACACGTAAACAAGTAAACAGATAGACAGGTAAAGAGACAGGTAAACAGATAGACAGGTAAACAGATAGACAGGTAAACAGA